CTGATACGTTTCCGTTCCCACTCGAGATGAACAGGAAGATTCTGTTTCGTATAAACGAATGTATTCTGTCAACGACTTGGTACATAATTTAATCGTTATTCCCCTGATATTCTTACAATATAAATAACGAGTTTCAAACATAACTCAGTTCTATTCACAGGCTAGTTTCATAACAAATTAGTTCATATCGTTTTGAAAAGATATTCAATAATTCAGTCAATTGATATCTATAGATAGATATTAAGTCTGAACGAAATATTGCATGTAATCTTTTAAGAGCACATCTTTCTTCACTATTTCATTTTAATGTAATTGCAAGTTTGAAATTCTAAAAGCTTTTAGTATTATATCGATGGATTGAAAATAAGAATAATGTTATTGAATATTTTAAAATCTATTTTTGTGTAGCTGAGCATCACTATTGACAAGTAAGTTAGATATTCAAAGAATGAAACTTAAAATATTTTCTTAGCTATTAGTAACTTCGTCTTAACATTAGACTACATTATATTGGAGTTTTATTGTGTATTTAGAAACTCAATATACTATAACATATTTATAATGAATACATACATTTATTTATTAATACAGACGTTTCGCCCTTCGCAGGTTATTACAAGAGTCAGTTTATTGAATTACTGGTTAAACAATAAAATGTTGTTCACTGGTATCTGATGTTATCAATAAATATTAAATGATATGTGCAATGATACATGATATGTCATAGACTATAATATTACATACACTTGGCTAACCAGGTTACCTAGTAAGGCCAGAGGTATCGAATGTGTGAACTCCCTAGAGAATCTATGTTTTAAATTACAAACCGCAGTCGTGGAAGCTTACTTATTATACATCGATCCCATTCAGTTCAATTACTGTGCCATGACGCTATTTATTTTTTATATAAATAAATGTTTAAAACAGAAAATATTTTGTTGTTTGACAAACTAAAAAATAACCATATTATTTCGCATATACAATACTGCAATATCAGTGGCTATACGTACGTTAATTAATTTTCTTAAATATTGCTGCAACAACCCGTACAAAGATGAGGAGAATTTCTAGTTCATATTTATTTTATATTTTAAATGAAAATATATTATATTGAAAGTACTGCTGCCTACAGTAGACTTGTTTAAGTTACGTTGTTTTCTTATATTCTAGTATTGATTTTGACGGCTCAATTTATAGCAAGTGATAACATCTATATACCTACATGAACAGCAGTTCGGACATCACGTTATCATGACATCCGTGCTACCACTCATTCTTCTTATTTTGTAATTTCACTGCCCAATCGCACCCTACAACCAAATTGGTGAGACAGAGGTATCCACATACATACATACATACATACATACATACATACATACATACATACATACATATACAGACGACTTCTTACTAAGTCTACCTCGATTTAAATCTTTATCAAGCTAATTGTATCTACCTGTACGTACCAACTTAGTTAACTAGCTGTTACTTTATACATGTGGAACTTTATTCTTGTGACTTGCACTTTAGTTTTCGTATACTGAGGTTATCTCCGGCAAGTAAACCGTAATTACTTCATTAGTACACTACATGCAGACTGCGACTTTGTGGGAGAATCTCACTTTCATATTTATAATATTGTGAAGTTACTAAGCATTAGTTTCATGTTTATAATAATTCTAGAAATATTCTTGTTATATCCCTAATCATTAACATATAAGAGATACGTATTTTTTAATATATACTTAATAAACAAAAGCGATAAAGATCAATATTTGAACTTTTACGATATTTTATAATATGATTCAATTTTATTTAGTATCCTCTTTAAAATATTGTTGAAAATATAATAATTTAGATTAAAACAATTAGATTATTACAATTAGATCATCAAATAATTATAGAATTTATTATGCATCGGTTCAAATTGGCGACGATATATATTTTTTTGAGTATATAATATATGTTTCGTATAAGTAATAATGGTAATACTATCAATGGATTACAAAACTAAAATACAGAGCATTAAATCTACGATTCTCACCATACCAGGTTTTACACACGATTTTTCATATCACTCTTCAAAACAATCCAAGTTTCCAGTCAAAGAAAACACAAAAATTGTTACGGCATTCCATAGTATTGAATTATACAGTATTAGATTATAATTATACAGAATTATATATAACATCTCATTTATTTTTTTATAATCACGTATTTGTGTTCTAACATATTCAATTTGTAACGGTTTAGTGCACTCAAGTTAGTTCAAATTAAAAAAAAACCGAAATCGATGTCTAATCGAAATTTCTTTGTGTTTATATTATAAAAATCGGTTGAAAAGACCATTTTCTACTCTCCATTGTGTATAGTATACCATATTTTTATTAAGACCGTTACTGCTACCGCACAATTTTGCTTAACCGTGTATTCAAATCGCAACAGGCTATCAGTGTAAGCTATTGTTCGAGTAAATTGAAAACCACGCAATATCCAAAACGATACCATTTAGACGGGTAACAATACGCCTTGGTGGAATTAACTAGGGCACATTCTAAGGGATTGTTGCTTTATCACCTCGCCTCGTGTGTAGGATTATATGGTGAAATCTGGTCTAGTAAAGAAAATACATATATGTATATCGCATAAGCGTATTACACAGATTATATTAACTATCCACGTGTTAAAGATAATTGCATGCTGTTTTTGAGCTTGTTTTATAATTATTCATTAAATATATCGGACTTCTAAATGAAAATAATATATTAATTATATAGTTTAGTACGTTAGTAGTTTTTTTGTAACATTAGGCCGCCCCGGCTTTCACTCTGCTATAATATATCTTGCAAACAGTGAAATAATTTAATTCTTAAATCGGTGCTATAACGCTCGGTATTTGATCATTAATAGGAAAGATCATACCGCTTCCAGTAGCGATAGTGTCTGGACTGAATATTTGTGGTCTCACGCATGCTAATGGCAGTGGAATTAAACAAAATACTATAAATGCAGCAGATAATAAATAATATTCATTCTCTCTGTTTGTAATATTAGTAGACATATAACTTTAGATTCGTTGATTATTTATATATTGATATTTTTTAGTATACTACGATCGCTTCATTAACTATGACTTATTAATTTAAGTATTTATTTTTACTTCCTACCTTCCTGACCTATTATATAATAGGAGAAGACATAATTCTTTGTTTATTCTAAACTTTGAACTCAAATTGAACGGAACGTTTACACTTACCTTTACCTTTCTGAAAGGAATGTATACAATTTCCTCAAATCAAAAGCACCAGGTAGTATACCGGAAAGTATTGTGGCATAGCGGGAAGTGAAACAAAGCCAGCAGCTACCGGACTCTAATTAGAATGGAACCATTCAATTTGCCCCGTATACCAATCAGAAATCGATGTAGTATTTTGCTTAGGTTCGGTTAGGTTATTGAGAGGTAATAAAAGCGATTTGGATAAATATGTTATTCGTGATAGCTAAAACGAAGTGAAAAATAAATTAAAAGCTACTTCAGTCATGCATAAACTTGAATATATAGCTCTAAAATGTAAAGTTGGCTTTTGATTATAGAAACTACATCAGTGCGGAATACATCGTGATATAAGCACACATAAAGTTACAATAAATTTTAGGATTTCTTACTTTTCAAACTCAGTTAAAATATGACGTGACTTCAAGGTGACATAAAATTATTTCTATTTATATAAAGGAATTCATGTAATCTCCGAAAAATTATAGCTCTCAAGTATTCGCGGAATGTTGATTACCCTTGCTAAATAAATTGGACAGCTACAATTTGCTTGCCACATCTTCTCGTGTACAAAGACGGTGAGGTATTCGAGACGCTTATATAATTTTGACAGCCATTTAAAACCGATTCTGTAATGCATTGAGAATTTGTTCTTAATATTATTGGAATACTGACGTTCTTAACCGCGACCTAATATATCTTAACTTTCATCCCATATTTCACACTCTTTCAGATTATTTTTTAGATAAAAGAGAGTATGTTTGCCTTTGACATATAATGATACAATACATAATAAAGTCGTTTAGTCGTGAAGAGGTAAGGAACAGAAATAATCGCAATAGAATTTATAAATTATCGTCTCAAATAAAAATAAAAACAGTAATCCTCTAAATATACCAGTAATATATAAAAATGATACTTTTAGTTACTAGGTTGTAAATAAAGCAACACGGGATTACGTTTTAAACAAAGTGTACTGGAAAGATTGCTATCACATTGTTTGTGGCAGAAAAAAGGGGTATCATTCACACATTTTCATTGAGCTTAATTGGATTCTGTCCAACTTTCAGAATTTAGGAGGCTCTGCTAATCAGGCCGACGAAAAACAAAAGAGCTGTGTAAATAAACCACAATGATGCTTTGTTTTAATTGCTACACTCTCGTTTGAATATCAAACGCGAGAATATTATGGGATAAATAAAATTTGAATGAAGTGCCTGTATGTACATAATCGTATTTGCTTAAAAAAATAAACAAGTGAATAGTTTTTTTAAACAAATATCTACTTTGAATTGAGTAAACACGCAATTTGCATTTTAATTTTTTTTTAGGTTTATACTAACTGGTACCTTTTAATTTTTATATCTGTAAATACAAATATATGTATTTATACAAGAAAGTTTTTTTATTTAAATACCTATTAGTTAGAGTTTCAATACGAATAAATTACGTGATATAATTTTAAGTAGTACAATAAAAATGCTTTCATAATTCTATTTTTAGTCGTCATTTTTACTTACGTTCACATATTATAGTTACAATCTTACCGTTAGATATAGGTTATTTACTTCGGTAAATAAACGCTCACTAATAGGTAATATATATAAATAAATGCAAAGTAATAATTCTAAACGGTAATATTTCTCGAATATATTATGTTTTATTATATTATTATCTATGTAGATATTGTACTATCGTATGAAGAATTTTGTTTTTCTTTTTACAGATATACGACACTACAGAGAGTACACGACAGAAAAAATGGTCGTCCAAATTAAAATTAAATACATCTGGCAGTTCGAAATCCTCAGAAAAATCACCAGATATCCCTTACATGTACGGAACCATCAGCGGTCCAGGAGGATCAGCATTATCTAAATCAATGAAATATGCCGAAACTTGGCTTTATGGGTCCGTTCGAACTCAAACCCCACCTATTAGACCTAGTGTCTTCACAGCTTATCCTGAAGTTTCTGGCCCCGTCTTAATAAGCACTCCTCAAAAACCGCAACCACACAACTATGCAGTAATATTATGTTCCTGTCCTGAGTATCTAAATGGTACCAAGAAATCAAGCTCAACCAAAGTCAGTATATGTAAGAAATGCAAAGGATCTCGTCTGCCATTAACAATTACAGAAAGTCCACGTTTACTTGTAGGAGGTACAGTGAGAGGTCCACCGTCAGTAACTCGAGAAGCTGGTATACTTAGAGCCGGAACGGTAAGAGTTCAAGGAGCCAAATCAAGACCTACTATTTTGAAAACAAATGGAGAAGCTGATCCATATGATTTAATGCGAAGGAGTAGATTAGCACCTCCACATGAAGCTCGTATTGGAAGTCAATTCTCAACAACACGATCCAGAGCAAAGAGCATTAGTCCTTGTCGTATGAAATCAAAGAGACCAAGTCCAGAATCGGTTAGAAAATGTAGAAGTAAATCAGTTAGTCGTGTAAATGAAATTTGGGTTGAAGAAGAAACAAATTCAAATGATACTAAGAAGTCAATTTTATCATGTGACATTAATCCTTATGATTTAGTGAAGTCAAGTGGGCCTTCAAAGTCATTGGTAGAAATTGAATTTGATGACGAATACGGTGATATATTTCATGAGTCTATAAAAAGTAATAGACAAGTAACTAAATCAAGAACTGACAATAACGTTAAAGCTATAAGTGGACAACGGATACGAATCGCTGATGGAGTAAAATCAACAGTAGAAGAAGCTACCGTGTACGATCCAATAAATTATGATCTCAAAAAATATGAAAAGTCGCAAGAAGCTTCTACCACTCTAACATTACCAAATATTAAAAATGAAAGTAAAAAGTCAATGTCATTAAGTAAAACTACGGGTAAAAGAATATTAAGTATAGCTACTTCAAATCGTTCAAAACAAAAAAGTGCTTCGCCAAAACGTCCCCCAAGAAGAGTTAGAAATATTAAGACAGATGACGACAGTGAAAGCGATAATCAGCGTTTACCTGAAAGAAATTTTAATCGAAAAGTTACTGAAAGCTCTCGTACCTATAAATATAAGAATCATAATTCTGATACTATTAAGTCGATCCTAAAAAAGCCGAGATGTTATGGAGGGAATGATTCACACCTAAAAGGTGACATTTCAGATGACTCGTTTGAAACTAAACGTATAAATACTTCTCAATTTTATTTACCTAAACCCAAAGATAAGATTTCTTCTCAGAATATATTGCAGCGGAAGCGCGTCCAATTTTTAGTAGAAAACGATGAAACTAAAATTATATATACTGCAGAATTTAACCTTGAACAAAACGTTGTCAGAGAAATACCTGGAGATGTTAATACCGATATGGAAGATATTATTGCTGAAGGAGACGTTGTAAGTCACAGCTTGACCCAAGACAGCAATTTTATAGAATCAGATGTAACTAATAAAGATTCAAAAAATGATCTTGGAGTTTATGAAGATGTCCAAATTAATAATACGTGCACGCCATCTGTAGTTAACAATAATCAGCAAATCCAGGATATGAAGAATAATTTGGATTGTAATCGTAATATAACAGGTAAGATTAATTGTAATTATTGTTTTATAATATTAATTTAAATTGCAATAATATAATTTAAAATACAGTCTCTAAAATCATAATACTGTATATAATATCTAAAATCATATACACTCGTATAACTTGTCATTATTTACAGTCCTTTTGTTTTTCTAGATAATGTAATACCGAAAGTTCCCGTATTACGTCGTTCAGAATCCGAACGCGTGGCTTCTTCTGTAGCAATAAGTCCCCCAAAATTCTTAGATACTATGGCTTTGCGACCAAAGAGCAAACATGGCCATACAAGTCAAGTATTTCTTACATTTGGTAATGAAACTGAAAGTCACCACCGGGAACAAATTAATCCAGGACCAGCTGAACCAGAAAATAATATGAATAATGATGCTGATGCTAGATTAATATGCAACGATAATAATGAGCCAGGTGATTTAAGTGATAGCAGTGATATAACACGTAATATTTTACATGATTTGCGTCGTGGAATTTTAGAATCACCAGAACCTCCACCTAGATTAAAAACTAAGGAGCGATCAAAATCAAAGAAACATAATTATGTCAAAACTCGTTTTGTTCGCAATAATTCTTCAAGTTCAACTAGTGATGAATGGTCTGATGCTAATGACTATGAACAAAAGACAATTTTACGAGTAAAACAATTTGATTCTGATGAATCTGAAGAAATAAAAGGTCCCTCTCAATCGATGAGATTTTTAGAAAACGAACCTAGAAAAACATCTATACAAATAAACGGTAACGAGTGTTATTCAACAATGAATGTCAGTAGTGATACACCTATTTATTTATCATCCGTAGTGGTGAATGACGACAGTGGGAATACTTGTAATACATATCAATCAGGCACAACTGTTACTATAAGCGTAGGCTCTCCAGAAAAAGAAATTAAAAAGTCTAAAAGTCAGATATACATAGGCGCTGTGTTATCAGAAAATGCTAAATATAAAGAAGATAACAACGCATATGAAGAATATTGCCCTCAACATGAGAATAATAATAATTCAAATAATAAATCAGACTTATCAACAATATTATGCGATCCCGTAGAAGCTGTAAGATTAAATTTAATCCCTCATGTATGCGGTAAGACAAACGACCCTAATATTTTAGAATATTCATCGACTAGTAATAAAAACATGAAATCAGATAATAATAATTTCGTTACAAAACTATTTGATGATCCGTTCTTTGGTCATTTAGCAGAAGGCTTAGATTCAAACTTGGTAAAGAAATTAATTGAAAATTCTTTAATAAAATTGCAAGAGACCAAAAATCAAGAAGGAGCTTATGATGACACCAACCAAACAATCGAAAAATTAATAGAAAATTCAATAAAGAATTTAAAAATGGAAGTACATAAAACTACTGCTATAATTCCGGAAGATACATTAAAGAAAGATATACATTTATTAAGCAGTGAAAGAAATAATAAAGAACAAATTAATATGAGTACAGATAATGATGAAAATAGCTGCTCTGCTCCCTATGAAAGTATGGAGTATGAGAGCGGGGCTATGGGAGTATTTTCAGATCTTGAACCAATGTCTGATTGTTACAATGCATCAGCAAGTGAATTATCTACTGAAGACGATACAAATTCTACGAGATCAAAGTTCTACCAGATGCTGGTAGATGCTGCATTATGTGAAATCGAAATTGCAAATAACACCGATGATGATCATCATTATGAATCTATTCGCCTTAATAGCGATCCTATATATGAAGAAATAGGAGATATGCCACCGCCACTACCGTCAAACCCACCACCTAATTCTTTAATGTTATTAGACGATGAGAAACGTAGTGGTTCACGTTCAATATTTGAGGGTGCCTCAAAATATGACATTTTATCATATTTAGTTGATGCCAAAGAAAGAGGCATTGATGATGAAGAAGCTTACGTCACAAGCTATGTTAATGGGAATGATTCGTCTAATATGTTAGACGCATCCAAAGAAAAAAATAGTACTGCAAACATTAGTGTACGTCTTAGTAGCAATACAAGTCAGTTATCTAATGCCTCTGATTCAAGTGAAGATAATTCCCTCATAATTAATCACGAGACACTAGATAAAGTTGTTGTATGTAAGAAAACATCAGCTGAAATCGAACGAAATGATTCTGGTGTCGGTTCAGAGACTAGTAAATCGTCAAGAAGCAGATTGCAAGGCAAAACGTCACCCTGTAATACAATAAATGATAAGGATACACCTATTCATTTATGTGAAGATTGTGATAGTGCAGTTGAAACTCAACTAACTGAACAAGGTAAATTATCTTATTCATTTTTAATGATGTGTAAATGAAAATTTTACTGTTGACATTAAGGCTTATCCTTATAAAAGAAAAATAGGTAATGTTTCATTAACTTACAGATGGCATAGAAAGCACTCACTAGGCTAGATATTTTTTAATTCTTGTTGATATATTTTATTTTAAAATATTTTATACCCCATTATCGTTTTTGATTAATTTGATTTTGTAAATTTGTCATACAATCAAATGAACTTAGAACTTGAGACTAATTAAATCATTATTTTAAAAATACCAAATGATTGGCACCTTATTCAATTAATTTTAAAATATTTCAGGTAATATTTATGCCCCATTAGTATGTCGCAAATGTGCTAAAAAAAGAGCAGAAAGAAAAGAAATTATTACGGAAATAGTCGAAACTGAAGAAAAATATGGTAGGGATTTACAAATTATACTTGAAGAGTTTTATAAACCTATGTTGGTAGCTGGCCTTCTTACTCAAGAGCAACTTAGTGCAATATTTTTAAACGTAGAAGAATTAATTGAAAATAATCAAGTATTGTCTGAAAAATTACGAGACGGCCTCGAAATTGCAGTTGATCAAGGAGATGAGGTAACACTTTCATTTTTTTATTTTAACGTATTTATATAATATCTAGCTTTATCTCACGACTTTACTAACTTTAAATAATAAACAAAAAGAAATTGGAATTTTTTACGTAACACTTAGAACCAACGCCTTGCTAAACTCCGCTGCAATTCTACATACCTATAGAATAAGAACAACAATCCTATAGGTAGTAATATATTGCGATTGCAAGTCTGTCACTTTTGTCACAAATACAAATATCCATATTCATCCAAAGAATTTTTTAACTTTCACATTTAATATACAAGCAGTATTCTTATATATTTCTATATATTATAATATATGGATAACAACAAAATGGATAATTATTAATATTTGTTATAGGACTAGAGTTGATGTTATATTATGTTTTCTAGGATCTGTTAACTGTGAATGTTGGTAAGATTCTTTTGGAGTGCTCCGGAATGCTGACAGCATTCCAGTCGTACTGTGTAAAACAAGCAGGAGCTGCACTTCTGTTGGCCGGTCTCGAGAAGGAGAAGGAACTTCTGAGGATATTCTTACGCGTCTCGCAGATGGAAAACACGGTCTTGAGGCGGATGAATTTAAACTCATTTCTCATGGTATGTTATCAAATACTGATAATAGAATTATTATAGTCCTAGTATTTATTTGCGCACAAATTTTACGCTTTTTTTAACGTATAACATTAAATATACAAATATTATTCAACAATGGATTTTATATAAGCACTTTATGAACAAAGACACAAATATTATTTGTTGTTGTTATTGTAGTTTCAGAATTCATCGTACTTTATCTAAAGTATATCATGTATAAGGTTGAATGAACTATTATAATCGACTTTTAAAAATGTCAATACATTGTCGTATATCCTAACTTCAGGTGCCAGTACAACGCGTGACAAAATATCCCCTCCTTCTCTCGCGGCTGTATCGGGCGACCGCCGCGTGCGCCACCGAGCGGGAGGACGTCCGCGGCGCCCAGCGCTGCGTCGAGTCTAGACTCGAGGAGATCAACTCTGCTGCCGCCGCGGCCGCTGCTGCAGCCAGAGATGTGCCGCTGTGGCGCCGGCTGGCCGCAGCCAGGCGGACGGCTCATGATCTCCACGTCGCTGATATAAGGCTGAGGAAGATGGCCGTCGACGTCTTGGATTGGAATCATGATGACGCCAGGTACGCTATCTATATATTAGTACGTGAAGCAAAAACTTTCGTCAAAGTTTTTGCGAGTATAAAATTTCACACCCTTATAGTTCATTCAGAGAAGGAGAGCAGAAATCTAATATCATTTAAAAATTGTACATTAAAAATATATTAAGTCAATAAAAAAAACATTGCATATTAATTATTATATTTATTGTCTGTGCGACTGGCAGTGTCTATAATAATAGAAGTATAGTCGTTGACAATACAGCTTTAATAATGTTCAAATTTAAGCGCTAAGTGATTACCATGTGTATATATAACAGCTGGTAAATTACAGGCGATTTGCTAGCATTTTTATAAGAGATACGACTATTCTAATTGATAAATATTAAATGACCCTAGTAACTTAGAAGTAGCTTATTTGTTGTATTTAGTTTGTATTGTACGGGATTCCTTTGGAAGGACGGCAACGTTAAAAGTGATGCTGTTCTTTAATTATAATAACTGTTATTATTTTACATAACATTGTCTTCTATTTATCTAAAATATTGTCTCATAGAAAAAATAATTTAATCAAGTATCATTTATTAATTTTCTTGTGTAATTTCATTAAATGTTTCTGGATAATTTTATTACATAAGGGTCAAAGTGGTTAAATTGAACCTTTCTTCTACGTGTCAATATCTGATTGTCTAATACTAAGTTTGGATCTTACAATTTGAAGTAGACATTAAGTCCTTGATAATTCAAGATGTTTGGCGAATAGTCCTGGCACAGTCCCTGTGGATGGGACAAATGACCCCATTACTGGAATCATTGTGGGTCACAAGTTTTTCCTATGTCCCGAGTCAAAAACTGACAATACTAATAATTAATAAAGTACATAAACAAACAACTTTTTTACATGTTAAGTATAAAGTATACTTGTAGACTAAATAATATAAGGATTTCTTACAATATTAATTTAAAAAATCAACCGCTTTTTACATATATTATAGTATTGTTTTTATTTATTATTGTTTTTATTATTACTAAAAATAATTTTTATACTGAGTAGTATTTCCGTAAAATATAATTTTTTTAAAAATAATATTACCGTCTTATTATCATAATATATTATTATTATTAATAAATCTAATAACAATAATATATTATGTTAATGCTTTGTTATTAGACGGCTTATATGGCCTCGGTGATCTGGCGGTTTATGCCACCACCATACGTCCTATTGCCGCGGGTTCAATTCTCCGCATTGTACAAGCCTTTATATACATGAGTATTATTATTTGTATTGGTCTGCGTGTTTTATATGCATGTATGCATTTACAAAAAAAACATCTCAGTACGTTTATTTGAATTGTCCTAGGTCCTACAAATGTATATTTATATTGTTATTGTTAACATGGAATAATAATAATAATATATTATTATTATTGTTTATTATTATTCCATGTGATTAAACGACATGATATAACTATACTGTATTTTAGCAGAGTAAAATATATTAGTTATTCATCATTATTTTACGTATGAATAAGCATACATAAATTATAATACTGAGCTTTACATTCTAATATCTGTTGGTTAGACTACCTGGAATACGGTCTTATTTCGAGTTTCCCTTCTCATACACCGATATATTTATTACTATGGTTATTATTATATTGAGCAAATGCAATCAGCCTCGCCAGCTCCTTTCACTTGCTCCATAAACCTGATAATCGTCGCTTTAGTACCAGTAACGGCATCAAGAGCTATTCCCGGGGGCTCTTTATTGCTCCAGCTACACAAATACAAGTAATTATACGTGTAAAAAGGAAATAACCTTTGAAGACGGCTGTCTCTAATGTTTGTTTAAAAATATGTTATTAGACGATAAAACTGTCGTTTCCTTTAAGTCGTTCTAGATTAAATCGCTTTATGGTCAAGTTAGTGGATTATTGGAAAGATTTTTGTAATCTTTATAGCCACTAATTTATAATTGGACTTAAAAAAATTATATTTTTATATAATACTAGCTACCTGCCCCGGGTTCACACTAACATACATGTATTTTACAAATAAAATTTCCTCTTAAATCATCAATTGGTAAAAACTGCATTAAAATCCGTTGCGTAGTTTAAAAGATCCAAGAGAACTGAGAGCGGAAGCAACTACATTTTATACTGTGGAAAGGTAATCAAGAAATTATATATTTATATTTAAGTAAAAAAGCAGAAAATACAAGAATTAATTAAAACCTATTCGGATACTGCGAAACTACACAACGCCATGTTTCGTATATAGAAGAATGACTTTTTATAATTGGAGTTTGGACTTTATCTGAGAAAAAAATATTCATTATAATAATAATAAGTATACTAAACTGTAACGATAAAAAAAACAAATGAATGTAAATATGACGAAAAAAGTAATTTCGCTTTATAATAATTACATAATTCGTCATACAACTGGGGTGCGCGAAATGAAATGTGACGTCACACGCAATAACCCTGGGAATTTGCCTTGTATGAATTAAAATTAAAATACATCATGGTATTAGGCGAGATTTCCATCTCAATTTAGTAATATTACAGTGTTTCGGAGAGAATTTAAGTCCGTAGACATTAAGGTTTAAAGTTAAATTAATTATTATAAATTCCTGATTTCAAGATATGTATTATATTTTTTTCTTAAATGCAAATTGAAACTCATACTTGTTTTGTTTTTGTTGTCGACCATATTTGAACTCACGAATGTTTTGGAAGGAAGCCGGGGTAGTAATTCACGAGGCCAAGATGCTCTCATATATTTGTATACTGAATAATATATTCGAAATAAAAACCCTATTATGCTATTGAAAATAAAAATATTTTGCTTTTTGTCGTGACTATGCACGAAAAAAATAATATTTTTATATATACTACAAATTAAATTTTATAAATAAATTAAACCTTGTGTCCTACTAATAAGGTTCGCAATGGAAGGCAAACTGCTGTTCACCCAGCCAAACGACAACAACTGGAGGAAAGGGCGCACGATCAAGCTGACGCCAATCAACGCCCTTTTGGTAACCAATGGAAAGGTAACTAACGTATCATTATTTAATTAATACATACAGTAAGAACTACAGGAACCTTACCTAAATTGTACTTGTCCTGTATAATTAAATATTATATGAACGCTGAACAGTAATATATAGAGATGACACAACAAAATACAAAAAATGTACTAGTCTCTATAAAAAATGAGTTCAAATGCACGTAGAAGAGAAAGGAAATATCAAGATTTAATTCAAGTTAAAATACCGTAAATTGATCGAAGCTTATACTAAAAATGTCTTTTCAGTTCGCGAACTATAAACTTACTACCGATCTTTCTAGAAACTTTCAAGATAGACTTTCAAAATTCGTGATAGGTTTCGTGGAAACTTGGTTCTATAAATTAAATAATTTATAAGACGACCCGGCTACGAGTTGCTGTCGCTCAGCCATTCTAATATTGAGGTCAATAAAATTGTCCTATGATTCAAGTTCGTCAATATACAGTTAGCCAAATATCATAAAAAATATTAAAATATATTCCCTAGATTTTGTATTATATACATATACGAGTATACACTAGATCCTCTGCGTTACATTTTCTCCATTTATACAAGATTTTCATTAAATTTATTTCATTCTATTGGTCGTAGCGGGATTGTTATCATAGCCTTTAGCCTTCCTTGTTAAATGGGCTAGCCAGTAATAAAAGAATTTTCCAAATCAGATTATTAGTACAGTTTTAGTATTTGAAAATTATCACGAACATCCAAACTCACAAACTTTATATTGCTATACATATATCCTATTATGTATAAACAAATACAGTATAAAATATTTTTATAATATTTTTAATCATCAATATCGACAACTTATTGCATCCCCAGCCAACGACCGCCAACAAAACGAACGAGATACGAGAAATTCGAGAAGCCAGAGACCGTGAGGCTAGAGAAAGGGAGGGAGATGCGTTATTCGCACGTAGCGGAGTGAGAGAGGCGGCTCTCTTGCTCGTGAGAGAGAAAGCTGGCAGATACACACTGCAGAGGGAGCCGTTGTTCCTGGACCGGTGCGTGGTTGCTGCAGACCATGAACCTGAACACTTCTTCGAAGTACATGAAATAACGACTAAGGATTCTTATATATTTAAGGTGAGCATTTTTTAGGGCAAACAAACTGACGGCACTTTTGATCAAGTAGAAACTGTCACCACGGATTTGTATTTATATTATATTATAACATGTGAATTTACTATTATTATGCATCTATATACTGTCATTTCACTGTCTTATGACCTGCTTGGAGGCTGAAATAAGTGGGACAAAGGTATCCCACGCAGATAACTTTGTGCAAAGTCTATGAATAGTTCACCAACTTGCACTAACGGCTATCCTATAAGCTGACGGGACTCCAGTAGAGGATAATTACATATCCTATGTTGCATGCATATACAAAATATTCCTTAGAAAGTATACACTCTGTACTGAGGAGATAAAATTCGCATCGCTCCTAATAATATCCTTCGATCTTAGTTAGACTTAGTTTTATTTTATTAGACTTAGTTAGACTCTGACAATTAACCATGATGGTTTTCAAGCGGGATCGTGTTGAGATCGACCTGAATTAGTAATAAGCCCTATTCCCCATTACTAACTATCCCCTTAAGTCCACTTTAATGTCTATTGTCCTCTGGAAATAAACATGAATCTTTGTTTACTTGTAGGCGGAAGAGAACTCCCGTACCCGCACGTGGTACCGCCAGCTACAATACCATGCACAGGGTGCCGGCACGTGGCGGAAACGACGCAACGCACTTGCAAATATTATGATAAACCCGATGCTGACAAGAAACTAACTTACACAGTAAAGAGTTTCCATTTATATTGAAATTTATAACTAGTTTTTTTGTCATGGTAAATTAAAAACATGCTTAAATCAGTAGGTAGACTTTGCCATAAATTTATATACGTAATAATTTTACTGGAGAAAATATAAAAGTATTTAAAATACATAAAAATAAATGTTCAATTTATTTTTGAACCAATACATTAGTCTGCATTTACATACATTGTAATTAAACTAATATTACAAATATTATATATATACTACATATACCACGAATAAATTGGTGTGAAGTTTTATAAAATGTTTCGGTGGAGAAAGCTTTATTACTATTATTGGGAACTTTTTAAGGTGTAATTAAATATAATATGGCGGTAGTAATATTTTGTCTTTACGTTTTCTAAATATAAAACGGACAAAATAAATATTAATGATAGTCCCAATATTAAGGTACTCGTATATACGTGTCTTTCTTTTATGTATAAATTCATCTTTATTTAAATGAAACAATGCACCGTTTTATATTTAGATAATAAATAGAACCTAAATAAGTAGTAGTATTTAAACAAAACAATGACATGCATTTTGTAAAAATTGTAATTAACAATTTTGATTTTCAAATGTCTCGTAAGATAATTGTAAAAGGCAATATATTCATATTTTGTAAGTATAATATATACTGAAATCTTAATTAAATAGCAATATATAATTGTAAATATATTACAAAAACATTTGCCACTAGTTTTAACACTAGCTTTACACCAAAATGTAGTGTTTTTATTAACATTGTGTGCCCTATATCTCGTAATATTACTAATAACAAATCATAGCTTAAGAAAGTATGTCATTGTACATAATTAACTTTAATAGCTGTGATAAACTATCCTCTACTGAAGGAAAATACACAAAAAAAACCTTGCTTGAAGCCTTTTCCATTTAAATGTAATTATTACAGAATATTACTTATTCATGCTTAATATAAAGTTCATAATAATTTCCTGGCTAGTCTTAAGGGATTTTCGTATGTTAAATAGTATATTTATAAAGAAAATATACAGATTGAAATGTATTTATTGTATGTAGTTATATTTTCAGTATGCCTATTTGCTATAGTTTTAGGAACAATAAAAGTTTTCTTCTTTAAACAATATTGTATTTGTTATGTAATTACTAGAAGTGAGGACAGGAATAAATTAATGACTAAATAAATCTGAATACTTGTTTTATTTCTAAATTATTATTTTTTTATATTATTTAAGTTGAATATCATTGATTCTAATATATTAAGGGTGATGATTAGATTTGAGTTATGACGGAAGTTTAAAGACTTTTGTAGCACGGTCCCCACTAATATGCCGTCCACCGTCGTGAAGGATGACTGCACGCCCAAGGGTGTCTGACGACGTATCGTGTATCGACGCTATCGTAGGAGACTATCAACAGTGTTGCAACGGCAATAACAATTATGTTTATAATATATGAATATAGTTAGCCCTTCAGGTACTCGTATACCTAGATATAAAAATAAAATGACGTTTGTTAATCTCGCTAGAACTCGAAAACGACTGGACCGATTTAGCTAATTTCTGTTTTGAAACAGTTGTGAAAATTCAAAGAATAAATTATTCAACATAAGTTATTATTTTAAATATTAATACTAACTTTGTCGTAACAAAGCTGAATACTATTACGTCCATTCACAAATAAGGAAATAAAATACTTCTGTTTTTTTCTGTTAGATTGCCCTACATTCACTTGGTTTTGGTTCAATATTTAGAAGAGGACTATGCACAAAAAGAAAATATATTGTTCAGTAGTTTTTATATTTTTTACATCTACAAACACTTAATATTACTAATAGAATAGTTCATGGCAGGATGCAGCGTTACAGCGTCGAAAATATGTATGAGTAAGAAAAGTAGATATGGTTAACTCAAATTAAATACATGAGAATGTCCCATTAGATTTCTCGAAAATTGTTCAAAACTTTCTAAACAACTGTTCCTTATTTAATACTAAAGCAATTTCAGTTTATTATCACAACATCTCTAACCGATGCGGAGTTTTATTACAATCGCTGTAACACGGGATTGTGTATAAAGAAAACACAATATTAGGTCTGATATGAAACTCTACCGCGGGCGAAATGTAATACAGCTCTGTGCCTCATTTCTCGACGTTGCTTCAGCGCGGGGTAAATAACGATGTATCTAATTATAACATTTACGATGAACGAGCCTGTTTACACCTAAAGATCAGTTTACGATTGCCATTTTTTTATTATACCTTTGCATGACAAATTAGATCATTCGTCATCTAATTTGTTCAAGTAGGTATGTTATTTCAGTATTATTAAATATTATTTATTCAAAAATAAACTTGACAATTTGAATTCACTACTATTTAGGAGTAATTCAGGATAACCCACTAGGTCACGACAACAGTCGTAACGAAATATTATTAGAGCGTGAATGTATTGTAAAAAGAATCATCGAAATCAATATTCCGTAAAATTGTATAATTAATATATATTATTATAGAATAGAAAATCTTTATTGTTGAAACGAGTTTATATATAAAATTTATATATAATCGTTACGTATACGTCACGTGATGAAGAAACTGAGTCTCATATCGTCTTCAGAGTCGATCATGTGAGTTCATTTCGCAAATGTGTAATAAACGCCGAATCAATATGGCGGAGGCGTTATTAATCTTCGGGGAGGCGACAAAATTATTTTATATAGTTGACTACTATTTATACAATAAACGTTTATAATTACTAACGGAATAACGACTTTATCCTCTATTATATGTAACGTAAGAATATATTCCATATGAAACATACATGTTTCTTTTCTCTCAATAATTATTTCTATGAAATACAATATACTAAAAGTGTTGAACAAAAAAAAATTTGGCTAGGTACTTACAATTAGGGCTTTTTTCTAGTATTTATAACAAAAAAACCTTTGTTAGAAATATGAGAATTTAGCACTACTTCACAAAAAAACTGCAAACGTAGTAAGAATAATTGAGCCTACACATATGGGTATTGTAATAACAAAATTTCCTAACTCGTAACAACTTGATTCGTATTTTGGTATTTGGCTTTATGGAAGTGGAGACAACAGTTTTATATTTAATCTCTCTAAAACAAATTAGGTGGGTATCATAAGATTTTATTAGATACCTAACGTTTCGATTACAAAAGGGTGTTACAGTTACTCCTATAGTTTTAAACAGGTAAAATTGATTTGGTTAAATGTCGCGGAAGAGGCAACTTACTAATTACACGTTACAAACTTTATTAGTTGGAGTGTTCTCAACAAGTTTTAATCAAATGCCTCACCGACTATTGACTACTCGCTTAATTTGATTCACCACTTTGCCTTTCGAACTAAGTTCTGTAACGACATTATTTCTTTCCAGTGTTCATATATTGTGCAAGTCTCTTAATTTAATTAAATTAAATTATACTCCTAGTGTTCAAAAGATAGTATTATTATTTTAGAGTATATGAACTTAATAACGACGACTTAATACCATAAAGTTATCTCTGAGGATTCTTAACTTTACTATGTCGATTGTCATGTGAGCCTTCTTTTCGAATTACTCTAATGCTGTTGGCCGCAGCTGGCCTTTACAGCTTCACCGGATGATAGGAAGCGAGTGTAGATGGCACTTCAAACCCGCGGAAGGACTTATGGAGTAGTTGAAGGCCAACTTCCGCCTAACGGATACGATTTTAGTTTTTAGTCTGAGGGTACCGTTAGGGTAACTGATAACCTTGGTGTTGGTGTTATCGGTGTGTTTATCGGTTGTAGGGTGTGTTTGGCAATGAAATAACAGGATATCTTAGTTCTTTGGAATGGCCAAATACGAGTGGTATTACAGATGTAACATGATAGTGTTATGTCCGTAGTAATGTACCTGTATATAGATGATATTTCGAATATGAAGGTACATAAAAAAGATGATGCAGCTGACATAACAATAACCTCGCTTGAATATTTTCGATTTGTATAATTCGTGTATGTTATGAATTATTATCTAATGATATAATGTAATTATGTTATTAACAATTTTTAGCTATCGGGGTAAAATTTATGGGTTTAGATTTTTTTATAAATAACTGAGAGTTCATCTTTAACTGCAGATGCGACTAAAGTTGTACGGTTCGCAATTGCACTGTTACTCCTAAATGGTCTGTAATTAACTGAAAAATTGTAGACATTGATCCATTTTAAATGAGAATTGTTATTCACATCGTTATACAATTAAGGATGAGACGAAGTTCGAAGATACGTTTAGTGTCTCTTATTTTAAACGAATTACTGCCTTCTACACGTATGCTTTCCAAGTATTATTGTTTTAACGTTATGTTTTCAACATTCATAATCCTAATGCAAATTATAAAGGCAAAAGTGTGTTTTTTTTTTGTTGATCTGTTAGGACAAACATATAGGAAGACATGTCGTAAGACATGTCGTAAGAGATATAAAGTTTGTACCTATATTAATAGCTCATTGATTACTGTAATAAATATGTCTTTATTTCTACAATAAAGCGCTCACAGCTGAAATACTAAGTGTTTGTTTAAAATAAACCGCTCACAGACAATGATCAGTTGTCGACGGTCGATGGAATGTGTTTTATCCTTGGTATTACGAGATGATGTCAATAATCAATATGTGAATTGCTACACTAACATCGTAATTCTCCAAAATACCTACACTATAATTTCTGTGGTACCGCTCCTGCCTCTTACCATTTCTGAGAATTAAATAATTAATTTTACTACCATATCATATACCTCAAACCGCAACGCAGCTTGCGAAGTAAATTACTTAGAGGCAGAAATATCCGGGGTAGATGTAACCGTGTTTGTACAAAATCTCCACCTTATGGATTATAGTCTTGAGTTATCTATTCTAATATATGAAATTGACATTATCATCATTATAGTGTTTGTAACAATACTTCTTTGAATCGGTTGACTGATTCTAATGAAATTTTGTGTATATATTCAATAGATCTGAGAATAAGACGTAAACTATTTTACTTTCGGCGTTCTATAACAGTAACTGACAAGTAAATAAATATCTTTATCGCCCAATGAAGTGGGTTGGTTATAATGTAAATTTTGTTTCAAATATTATTTTAAATAACAAATCGCTAATATTGATTGGGTTATTTACGAAATTGTTATGTTAAGGTACAATACCTATTACTGTAACTACTTAACACAAATTAGACTACGTTCGAATAATTGCTCAAAGTTAGAAGTTTAAAACAACACTCAATAAATAATAATGCAAATTAATTCAACATTCCTGTTGGTTCAGTATCTAAAGATAACAGTTTGTGAAAACAGAAAATACAATATAAAAGGAAATTTTCAATTTTGCATTTCTCATTGTGATTTTGCGTCGAGCAAGATTTATTCATCGCCAATGACTAATCTCTGTAGGCAAAACGTTGTTATTGGCATATTAATCATTAGCTATTGTTCAATTAGCTAATGATTTATTTGATATACCAGTGATAGCAAATATATAGCATAACGTACATATCGAATACAATGCAAGTAAAACTAAAATGGTAAAGCTGTAAGCTTATCTCATGGTATAAAGAATAGGTACAACCGTCGTGTATATACATGAACTACGCGCTTCATATCATGTGATATCACAGTATCGAATTAAGGCGTAATTCATCTGTATCTTGTAATTTCACTACCATATCTCACCCTTCAACCGAAACACAACTTACCAAGCTACTACGTGGCTGAAGTACTGAAACAAAGATTGGCTCGTTGGCAACTTTGTACATAAGCTACTTCGGTAATAAATCTGAAAGAAATAATAATATTAACTCTATATTGCGTTCAAATAGCAAATAAGGAATTAGAACAGTAATGTTAAAAAATGTGCATAACAAAAGGCAGTTATATAGCTATTAGCAATTTCTTACAAAAATGTGAACGAAATTAAGAAAGGGATCTTATGATACAAATAAGTAAATAGAAAAGACAGCTGCAATTAACAACTCGTTTGCAACGTTAATCTGTATAATCTGTCGAACAAACTTGGCGGCGGATAACCGCAACTGTTTCTTGTTGCAAACTTGCTTACACAGTTCTATCTAAGAGAATTAAATCTCAATAACTAACTAATGTAACACTATACAACAAAACT